TTAGACTTGCAAAAAAATGACTTTTCAGTCATGTGAGAAAACTCTAAATATTAATGACAGGCATTGGTTAAAACTTTCATTTAACTTTAAAATATTACATAATTGAGCTGGAGTTTGAAATTCACCAAAAACAAATTCATCAAAAAAATGTGATTGTGCTTAGAGATTCTTTAACTTAGCAAACCATACAGAAATAAAATAGAATATAAAAAAGAAATATAAAAGAACTAATGAATAAATATAAATACTTAACACATTTTATTGAAACAAATTTAATTTAATCTTGTGAATAGTGGCAAAATAGTTGTTTATAAAAACTACTAAAATCAATTTTGATGCAAATGACTTCTAAATAAACATCACACTGTGTGAAGCATTTTGTCAACTGAAGACAGTTTAGGCAAGAAAAGTAAATTATTAGAATCCCATAAAATAACTATTGAATACTTAAATATGCAATCAGATACTATTAGTTACAAACTTAAATGTATTTCTAGTTTATCATTTTGCAACTTGACTTTTATTGCAAAATATGAAAAAAAAATTTCAAAATTAATGAAAATTGCAAAGCAAATGTTTATTAATATGTTTCATACTTAAATATATATTTTTTATAACAATAGGTTATGAGAAACCATTACTTTCATAAAAGAAAGAGAAACCATTACTTTCATAAAATAAAAGTAACTTGAACTAATTTCATTTCATGCAAATACTCTTTTGATTATATAAGAAACTGACTTTCAGATTCAATTCACCAGTGCCACCAGTTCACCAGTGCCACCAGTTCACCAGTGCCACCAGTTCACCAGTTTCACCAACCTTTCAAACGTCACCAGTGCCAGTGAAGATTTGTAAAAATTCATTTTTAAATGCAAATTAAAATGATAAAAAATTAAAACTGTAGCAATTTTTGTTTGTATTGGTTGGTACATTTGATGTTCCTTACATATTTGTAAAAAGAATCTGATTTATTTGCTCTTTCAAAAAAGATAAAAAAATAATAAAAAAAAAAAAATAATAAAAAATACAAATAACCCTCAAAATAAAAGTAAATTATTATTACACCAAGATGTTCCCTTTAAATTTTTAAATAACAGTTTTGTAATTTGAAAAATGTTATTGACTGAACAAGTTTTCTTAAACTTTCCCTAAATTTAATATTTATTATTTATCTTTAAAAATTCTCTAAAAATTTGAAAAAAAAATTATTTTTTTTGCAGTTGACCCTGCATCAGAATCATTTTAAAAATAATTTAATTGTAACAAACCTATTATTCCAAATTCCTGTAAACAGCGTTAAACTCTCGCGTAACCTATTTGTTGTCGGATCTTCTCGTAATACTAGATTATAACTGCTGCATGCCACAACAAAAATTATTGCAGTTACATCTGGAAACAAAAATTTTACATTAAAGGTTTTGGTTACAAAAAAAAGTGTTATAATTATAGTAGTTAAAATGTTAGATTCACAAAAAATTTAACTTTATTGGTATGTTAAAGATTTATAAAAAATAACCACAAATAAAAACAAAAAAATTGTGTCAGATAGTTATACCTGCAAAAATCTTGACCTACTAAGTTGTTCTACAACAAGAATAGATATTCTTGTTGTAGAACAACTTAGTAGAAAGTGGAATTAATTTTTAGATGACCTACTGAGGCTTAAATTGTTTTCAAATGATTATAGTTTTATTTATTTTCAACCGATTTATGATGTTTTCAACTGATTTATTTTTCGACTTTTTATAGATTTTTCGATTTTTATAGATTTTCATTTTCAATCGATTTGAGATTAAAAATACAGACCAGATAATTTTCAAGATTATCTGGTCTGTATTTTTAACAGGGTTGGCATTAAAAAACCCGCCCAATAAAACCCAAAAAAACCCGCCTAAAAAAACCCAATAAAACCCTGGAAAATCTGGGTTTTATTGGGTTTTTTTAAAGATATTTAATAAGTTTATGAACTATTATAACCAACTTTAACATTATAACTATAATATTATTTACTAAAATAATTATTAATTATTTTTATTAACTTAATTATTATTAACTATTATAACCAACAATAACAGCTATCAGAGCAGGTTTACTATTATTTGAATCATTATTTGGAAATACATTATTACATTTTTTATTCAAATATTTTTATTGATTGAGATTTTTATTACTTTATGTTGCTCACCTCCCAAGTTGAATTTAAATTAGTAGTGACCAGAGAAGCCAACACAACAGTCGAGGAGGCTACCTTGTTGTGGTTACAACCCTCTCTCAACTCTTTTGCGGTAGTGGTGTTGTGGTAGAGCGCTCACTTCATAAGTGAGAGGTTCCGAGTTTGATCCCTACCACATCCCTGGCAGTACAGCGCTCAACTCCTTTCTCCGCGCAGCGACCTTGTTCGTCAAGGTTCATGTTTCGGAGTTATAGAGTTGAGAGAGGGTTATAACCACAAATAAGTAGCCTCCTCGCCTGTAGTGACCATAAGCTTTGAGGAGGTGAATTGATTTAAAGAAGAAAAAAAACTCTTTAACTCCTAAACACGAATCTTTATAAACAAGGCCGCTGCGCAGAGGAACAAGTTTGTTCATTTGAATTTCAAGTTCAAAGTTTAATTGAAACTTCAGTTACTACCTCCCGTTCTCAAGCCTTCTTTTTCACATTTTCTCATTGACATTTTTAATTATATAAAATAATACTTTTAAATTTAAAATAAATCAATACATATAGATTAAGCGTGAATTTTTTTTTTTCTATTACAGTTTTAAATTATATTTAAAAAACTTTTTCAAAATAATTTGAAAAATTCTTGTTATAAATAATTAAACAACAATATATTAAATATATTTTAAATAAAGTTAAAGTAGAAAAAAACAAATTTTCAAAATCATTAAACAAAAACACAAAAATTTTTTTTACAGAGACAAAATAAAAATTAAAGCCAAAAAAACCTGAATTTACCCAATAAAACCCAAAAAAACCCACTGGGCCGGGTTTTTTTAAAAAAACCCGGGTTTTTGCCTACCCTGATTTTTAACCTTGTTTTTTTTTAAACTACAAAGATTTTTTCTTTTTAAACTAACAATCAATAAGTTTTCCAAGCATTTATCGAACCTGATACCCCTTGATTCTGGAGACAGCGCTTCAACCACTGCGCCAAGGCTGATTAAATTTGGCGTGTATTTAACTTAACACCAAAATATACAAAATACATATCAGAAAGACGTAGTTAAAAAATTGAAATACAGTAGTTTGAAAAATTTAGGTTGGAAAATTAGTAGTAGATGTTTTAATTGTAAATATAAAAATCAAAAATTGTCGGTTGAAAATCAAAAACATAATGTATGATTTACGAAATTTCAAAATTAGGTTTAGTTATAGGCCACCAAAAAAATGGCAAAAAAAAAAAAAAAACTAAAATAAATAAACCTAAGAAAGGATTAAAAAAATAATAAACTTACTAAATTATAACATGAAATAACAAATATTAAAAATAAGTAAAAAATAAATTAAAAAGATGGTTGAAGACCTGTTTTACTTTTCGCATTTAACTTAAAATTAATTTAAAAAAAATGAGAAAAAAATATGCTACAAAGAAAAGTATAAATATGCATAATATAGTAAAAGATTCACAAACACATCCTTAAACAATTAGTTGTGTTATTCAGCATTTTTCTCAAACAAAACCAATCAAATGCAAACCTGGAGGTGAAAAAAAAAAAAAAAAAAAAAAAAAAAAAATTTCAAGATATAAAACATTAACACAGACAACATTTTTCTGATTAAGCCTACAGATATTCTCATAACATGGTTAACATTTTTCATTAACTTTCTGGTCAAATATATGTTCAAGAGCGTTTACAAAAATGTCTTTTACCTCTCATTAAATCACAAAATAATGTTCTAGCCTGATTTGGCTTCAATTCATTTAAGTAACTGGCTTGGAATAGTATATATTAAAAAAATGATGTTAACGTCTAAAACAGCTAATGCTCCGAACAACCTAGAATCGAAAGTTATTGAAAAGTACTAGGTAGTTAAGCAAAGAATTAAAAAAGATAAATGAAAAAAAAAAACAAAAAAAAAAAAACAAAAAAAAAAAAAACAAAAAAAAAATCAAATAGTTCATATAGTTATTCTGTACGCAAGTTTAAGAGTACCACTAATGTTTATGAGTACCACTAATGTTTATGAGTACCACTAATGTTTATGAGTACCACTAATGTTTATGAGTACCACTAATGTTTATTAGTACTACTAATGTTTATGAGTACCACTAATGTTTATGAGTACCACTAATGTTTATGAGTACCACTAATATTTATGAGTACCACTAATGTTTATGAGTACCAATAAAGTTTTTAAGTACCAATAAAGTTTTTAAGTATCACTAAAGTTTAAGAGTACCAATAAAGTTTATAAGTATCACTAAAGTTTGTGAGGACCACTAAAGTTTGTGAGGACCACTAAAGTTTGTGAGGACCACTAAAGTTTGTGAGGACCACCAAAGTTTGTGAGGACCACTAAAGTAGCACTAAAGCAAAAGTTTGAAATTTTGTTAATACAAACTACAAAAATAAATAAAAACCATAAAACAAAATTTTATCTTGAAACTAGTAATAACCAAAAAGTAATTTCCCCTTTATTGTTAATTTACATAAACTGAAAATATTTTAAAAACAATTAAGTTTTACTAGATATAAATTGAATGATATTTAATAAAATATCAAAAAAAAAATTTATTAACTTGTTACCTTTATACTTAAAAGAGTATTTTGAAAAAAAAAAAATAAACAAAATATAAAAAAAAATAATAAAAATACCGTTAAAACATTGAATCCACTTTCTTCGTTCATCACGCTGACCTCCAACATCAAACATACTAATAAAAACAAACTTTACACTTTAGTGAATGCTTTAAAAAACAAGTTATGCATGATATATTTTTAACATTAAAATTTTTCAAAGAAAGTATAATAATGTTAATATTCTTTTGTTACTGTTTACTTTTAATGGAAACACCTTTGTGCATTTTTGAAAAGTGCAATTTTTTATAAACAGGTTTTTTTTAAAAAATATATATTACAGCAAAAAAAATTTTTTGCTGTAATATATTTTCATCATACATAGATAATGCTTGCCTAAACCCTAACCATCAGTTGTCTGTATGAATTAAAACCATTATGGTATAATGGCATAATCAGTAGACGTTTTATGACATGAAATATCATTAATGATATTAAACTAAAATAGCCACAAGCAGGGGTTTAACATACATAATCTGAGGAATTTAGTTTAGACAAAAAATTATTTTTCATTTTTTAAAATCGGTTTGTTAAAAAAAAAAAAAACCTGGTTTGTATTTCTGAGTTAGGTAAGCTTTTTTTAATGAGTTAACAGGTTACAGAAGTGTTAAATAAAGTTTGAGGTGAAAAAGATAAGTTCTCTGATTTTAATGAAACCCTTTTTCATTGGAGAATTTTATTATAAATGTTCTTTTTTCTATATATTTGCAATATATATTTCAAAGAAATATAATAACAAAATAAAAAAAATAAAAAAGCTGCAAGGTTGAAAAAAAACAAAAAAACTAAAATAATCACATAAGATTACTCACTGAAAATTAACCCTATCAACTTGAAACCGAGTTTCAATAATTCCACGTGTTAAAACACGACATCGTAATAAATCCTGAAATGGATATTAAAAAGCATAAAAATTTTTAAATTATATATATTTACTTTATTTCTATATTATTTATCATTTTTATAATAACTTTATTTAAAAACATGCTTGAACATTTACCTGATTACTAGGACTATAAATTGGTTTACGAACATCTGCTGTTCTATCTAAAAAACTGACAAAGAATACTTTACACTTACAGAGAAGAAGATTCACAAAAAAATATTATGAAATTAAAAAAAATTATAAAAAATAAATATAAAATAAAATTAGGTTGCACAATGTGATTGGCATAACTTAAAGAAAAAAATGACTTTTCTCTGCATAAATATGATAAATATATAACACAATAAAATATATATTGAAAAAAATATATACACTTGACATTTTAATTTTTTTTTTTTTTTTAATTTAATTAAATGGAATTTAAATAAAAATAAAATTTATTTATATAAAATATAACATAAAAATGAAATTTATATAAAATGAAATTTAAATAAAAAAACAGCAACACCTGAACTATAGATGTATTCCACATTCCAATGAAATGTTTAGAGATGATATAACATCAGGCAATGATAAAATGTTAATATCAAGTAATTGTTTAAAAAAAAATTCAAGTAGAGACTTGATAAACTCAATTATTTTCAAAATAATTTTATTCTTATTTTTAACTTTTTTCAAAATAAAACAAGCAAAATCATAATAGAACTAAAAAAATATTCTATTTATCTTCTACCATTGCCTGAAGACATTATATCAACTTTAAAAATGATAGGAATGATAAAAATGCTGGATGCATTTAATAAAATTTGTCTAACTTTTAACAATTAGAAAATTATGACTTTTGCCTCAACATAAAGCAGAAAATACGAGGAATCAAATTCTTTATTGCTTAATATTTTTATTGAGCATCAGTATCATAAAGATTACAGTATTTGTGTGTTGTATATTGCATATTTTCTTTTCCTAAACAATTTGCCACAATGAAATTAATTTTAATCATCAGTATGAACATAACTTATATCATGCAATACAAATTAAGTATTTAGAAGGAATTATTTAAAAATAAAACCAATCAAATTTAAATTAAATGTCATTTAAGAATGAGCAATCAATATTGTTTAGAAGCCAATTAAAAAAAACAAAAACAATAATATTAAATAAAAGAAACATCATTTAAAAATATAAACGAAAAAAAATCATTTTAAAATAATATATATATATATATATATATATATATATATATATATATATATATATATATATATATATATATATATATATATATATATATATATATATATATATATATAAAATAACTCATAACATTTAAGAACAACATCATTAGAAAAAATAATAAAAACTTTTTATATTTCTTTTCCCAGCACTAAAAGTAAAGCAACAGCTGTAAACATAAAAGCAAATATAAATAGAATGTTGGACAAATAGATTAAATGGTTTATTTGTGTTTCTCATCAAAACAAGCTAAAAATAAATGATTGTTAGAAATAAAAACAAATACAGCTGTAAAATCCTCACCATGCTTCTATGAATTAGTAATATCTTTTTTTTTTTTTGCAGACACAAAAAAGAAATGATCAAAGAAAAAAAAAACAGTTTTAAAAAAATATATATATATATACATGTATAATATATCTAAATGCATTCACATATAAATGTTTTAAAATATCTAATTAACTTATTTTAGACTTTTAAATTTATAAATTTTAGACTTTTTATATACAATTTGAAAAAATATCAGACAAAGTTAATTAAAAAGAAAACATTTTTAAATAAAATGCTTTAAAAAAACACTAATAAAGAAAAAAAAGCTCAAAGATCGTGTTCAAACTGTAGCAAGAAATGCGGTGGTGTTTGTGTTTTATATTAATAAAATATAAAAAACTGTAAATACTCAGCACAAATTTTTCTTCCATTTTTTTCTAAAAACACTTTTTGTTCAATTTGAGTACATATTTTGAATTTAATTTAAAGTTTTTTTTTTGTCTGTGCCTTCTTTTACCTTCTCAGGTTAATAGAACTACTTCATTCAAATGGTAAAAACAAAACAGAATTTAAAAATCAAAAAAAAAATTTCATATGAACTATTAAATTACAACAAATAGGATAAAATGTACTTACTATTGAGCACAATCAATTAGCTGGTACTCATTTGATCTTTCAAAGCATTCTTGAACACCTTTATCTTTCCACAGAACTTCAACATGGTTGTAAAATTCCTTTGAAAAACCAAAATAAAAAATTATCATTTGCGAAAATTAGGTGATCTCAATAAAATGAAAGCCAAAATAATGAGCACACTTATCCAGTAACAGCAAATCAAAATAATGATCATTTTATCATCCTTTTTAAATATCTTACTTAAACAATATATTATTTATATTTTACTTCAAACAACTTATTATTTCGTTAACAATTTAAAATTTTTAGAGTAAATGAGAAACAAAATATCATTAATTATATGTAAAAATATCTATTATAAATACGAACTTTTCATTACATCTTGTCTATATTTAAATTTTAAACTTCATTATATTTATATTATATTATCTCTATATGCAACCACTTTATCACTACTTCACTATATTTATATATTTTCACTATGTTTATAAAATCTTGCATTTTAAAAAAACTTACAGATTAATAATTCAATTTTTTTTGTAAATGATTTAAACTTGTTAAAAAATATAAGAAAAAAAAATTGTTTAATTAAAAAAATAATTGTATAAACTAAATTAAAAAAAACAAATAAATAATAGACAAATGCAATGTATTTATATAATTACTTATACTACTACATAAACCACCTTTATTATTTATACTATAAACAACAAAAATGGCATAGTTTTAACAGTAAAAAGGATTATTGGTAACACATTATACAACAAAAAACAAAACAAAACAAAAAAAAAAAACAAAAACATAATCATTTAATATAAAATACTTAATCCTAATTTATATCCTTATCTTTTTCTATTTACAACTGGTTGTAATGATTGGAATTTATTTAAATGATTTTAAAAGTCACAGATATTGCACAATATAAATTAGAAGAACAGATATTGCACAATAGACTAGTTAGCATCTTATTGTATATTTTTGAATGAACAGTTTAGCACACTTGAAGTTATTTTCCATAATTATACTATTAACTGAAGTTTATGCTAATATATATATATATATATATATATATATATATATATATATATATATATATATATATATATATATATATATATATGCTATTTTAGTAAAAGATCATAAAAAGATATTTTAATAAAATAGGCATGAGCATAGCCCTCCCTGTATTTATATATATAATATAAATGTGTGTATATATATATATATATATATATATATATATATATATATAAATGTATATATATATATATATATATATATATATATATATATATATATATATATATATATATATATATATATATATATGTATATATATATATATATATGTACATATACAAAAACACATGTATACTTAGGGTTTATATTTGGCAGGCAGTACATACAAATATATACTGTTGCTTACATTTACTACAATTATAGTCCTTTTTAGAAACATCTAAACACTATGTAATAAAATAGAAGAATTTTTTAGTTTCAATCTAGAGTTCTTGATAAACAATATTATAGAGACTATTATAGAGAGAAGTTTAAAATAGAAAAATACTTGAAGTCCTGAAATTCAGAAGTTCCTGAACATATTTCTTAGCATCAATCTCAAGGGTAGAAATAATGAATATTTGACTCATTTCATATTTCATATATATATATATATATATATATATATATATATATATATATATTATATATATATATATAAATCTATATAAATCTATATATATTTATATATACAAACACACACACACACATATATATATATATATATATATATATATATATATATATATATATATATATATATATATATATATATATATATATATATATATATATATATATTATATATATATAGATATATAAATATATATATAATGATCTTAAAAGAACAGAGAAATAATAAATTAGTAGAAAATCACTTATTAATATTTTCATTTTACACAGCGTTTCATCAATAAAAACTTATCAGAAATGACAAATATAACTGATAAGTTTTTCTTTATGAAACATTGTGTAAAATGACTTATATAAAAAATGACTTAGAATAATAATAATAATAATAATAATAATAATTATTATTATATATATATATATATATATATACATATTATTTGATGAAATAAAAATATATAGAACATTGAGATTAGTTAAGTATAAACCTCAGGGTATGTAAAATCGTTATCATCCACAGTAGCATTGTCATGCAACCAATCGATTCTCCATTGGTTTGCAGGGTTTTCTAATTTAACTGGAGGAACAATAGTTTTCATAGCACCTGTTATTGTCTAAATAACAACAAGTAGTTATAATTTAACCTGATAAAAATATAGCATAACCCTTTAATAACTTTTTTATATACAAAAGTTACATAGATTACAGATAAAACAGACAAATTTTTGTTAATTAATCAATTTAGTTTCGGTTAAAATAATTTTTATTAATATTATCTTTTTATATATATATATATATATATATATATATATATATATATATATATATATATATATATATATATATATATATATATATATATATATATATATATATTTAAATAACATTTCTAGATTGTATTCAGCTAAGTACTATTTTATTGCTTAGTTAAAACATGTGGCAGCAAACAAATCAGACTAAAAAACAACCATTAATTCTGATTATGATACATATATATATATACTATATATATGTATCATATTCATATTTTAAAAAGTAAAAAATTCAATATCTTAAATCAAATAATTATTTATGTTTGTAATAATCTTTAGGTTTAAATGAATGTTTACAGTTAGTTTTTCTACTTAGATTTTAAAATTTGTCATTGATTACTTTTTAAATAAAATACACTTTTGTAAAGTCAGAGGGAAAAATCGAAAAGAAAATGTCAAATAATTTCACGACATTTAATCTAAAAAAAAACTAAACATTTTGACATGTTCAGTTTATAGATTCCAGTATTTCCGAAAACGAAAGCTTTGTTTTGATCAAATTTGCCTCGTGATAAAAATAACACGTGACTATAACTTAAATAAAGACCCTTTCAAATATCGATTCAAATACTTATTATCACGTGACAATATCTTAACCGAAAGTAACTATAATGCGCACTAAACTGTAAACAGACACGGAACTTACTAAGATTCCTTCTTTGATATTTTTTTTAATATCTTCTATCTTCTCCTTTTTCTCGCTAAAAATTACCAAAATAATTCACGAAATACATAAACACTTTTTCAAAAATGTATGTGATAATTTAAATAGAATAAGTACAAGCACGGAATAAAACACTAACGTTTCATTGAAACCATCTACGTGGAGAATTCGCATCTGTTTAACTATAGTACTTTTACCACTTTCACCAGCTCCTTTAATAAAGTAAAGAAGTGTTTGCAAATAAGAAACCAGATCTCAAAAAAAATTCATTAAATTTCTTAATATGTGAAACACAACCAAATTTAATTTTATTACCGAGTAATAATAATCGATGCGTTGCTCTATAAGAAACTTTATCTTTTGATATATTCATATCAATTTTTTTACTAATTTTTTTGGCTTCATCTTCTCTATTACTAAAACATCCCATCACGCCTAAGGGGCGGCTTCGAGGACTAATCCCCGTCTTGAATAAAGTTCTCTACATCAAAATCTAGAGGTCAACTTAGAGAATTGAAAACTCCACTACATAGTTTAGGCCCACTCAGCAACAGCCGGCCGAATAAAATAATAAAGGGCTTTAACGCATGCGCAAGGGTGTGGTAGATTTGATTCGTGTTCATAATTTGCCGAATCATTTCCCGACAACATTCGTGGTTTTAAATCAATATAAAATGTTTTCGAGGATTATGATATTTAAATAAGCGAATAATACCAATTTTAATAAAAATTTAAAAATAACTGAGATTTAAATAATACTTTATGTCATAATAAGTTTTAAAGGTAACACTTTTAATTCAATTTTTTGTTTTGGAAAATAAATGCGAGTTAGAAATAGTTTTATATAAAAACTTGTTTAAAAAAACAAAAACGAAATGAAAATAAAAAATCACTATTTTAGTAACAAAAATTAAAAAAAAAAAAACTTTTTTTGGTGTTAAAATAAAAATTATGTTCATAGAGACCTTTTCGGTGACATGAAACTGATATAAGACCAAATAAAACGATATTATAAATTCTCAAAGATTTGCAAAACATTTTTTTTTTTAACACTTTGAGCATAGTGTTTTTTTTACTGATTCAAATACTATAAATAATATTAAAACAAATAGAATACGTTAAAATGTTGTCAAACTGTATTGTGATATCGCATGTTTAATGAAAAATGCAGAAATAAATGTCTAAATATAACTCAGAACTGTTTCATTATTTCCATAAATGGTGATCATAAATTTTTAGAGATATTTTTAGTGATTGTTTCTTTAAGTAACTCGGCGATTGACTGTTAGTGAAAGCAATATTATAAGTTAACATTAAGAAATAAAAAACACTTTATAAACTTAAAAAGTAACAAAACAAAAAAAGGTCAAGGAAAATGCAAAATAAATAAAACAAATATGTCATAGCATTAGGAATTTAAATAAAAGATTATAACCTTATTTATTTTATATATATATATATATATATATATATATATATATATATATATATATATATATATATATATATATATATATATATATATATATATATATATATATATATATATATATATATATATATATATATATATACATCGTAAAGTTTTCAGAGATTTTAAATATTTATGAAACTAATCTTCCTGAAAATGAAAAACGTGCAACCTTGCATAACCTAAATCTCATACTTAAGTTTTACTTTAAGACCATTATTGAAATTTTTTGATACCAGTTGAGTACTTTTTAAATTCTTTTGTGAAATCCAAAACACTTTTTTTAACTCGAGGTTATTTTACCTGGTGGAAATTACATTGTAAAATTTTTATAACATAAATAAGCTCAGTTTATATAAATTTAAATTGTATTAGAAAATTTATTCTTTCAATAATTAAAGTGGTTGTTTATTTAGATTTAATGAATTTTTTTAAAACTAATAAAATACTTAAGAAAACTGAGCAGGTAGAATGAAAAACCAAATAAATTAACTATATTTTTCTACTGCAATAATACGAAAAAGTATTGTTTTAATTGGATTTTGCATTGATTGGTGAATATTATTAAAATAAACAACTCGTTTAGTAAATGCATACTTCGTGATGCTTTATGTTTATAATTTAATAAATAATAATAGTTAATGATTTGTTAAATAATTTATGATGAATTAGTTTATGATGATAATGATTTTCCCATTGATATTAATAAAGTGAAAAAGTAAATTATGCCATTATTGGCCCGATGTCAATAAAATTCTACGCAACAACAATATTCGGACAATAATAATGCTTCATTTCACAAATTTGCAACAATATGAAAAAACCCCATGAAACAGGTTTTGTCATATTGTTGCAAATTATATTTAAATTAGAAGCTGATGTGTATAAATTTAAGGTTTTGCTTTGTAAAACTTTTTCAATTTTTTAATTTAATTAAAAAGTTGATTACCTAATGATGTTTTTTATAGCGCTTTTAAATAGATGATTAAGACTATCATTATTTATGTTATCGCCATTTTAAACAAATATCGGAATTTTAATTTCCTGTTGGAATTGCTTTGTTTATGTACGACATAAATACCTTTAAAACAAATAAACTAAATCTAATTAATATTCTAACTAATTTTTAAATGAATATTTGCAACTTTATATTTAAAAAATATGTTTTTCAGTATTAATTACTAAATATATTTAAATTTTGAATACTTAGGAATTAATACAGATTTTTAATTAATTCAGGAGTTAATATTTATAAGCAGTAAATGCCGACAAAATTTTTATGCGAAACATTAATAAGAAAAAATTTGAATAAAACTTTGCAATAATACGATGTATGTAAACTGAAAATATTTTAAAACATTTTTTTTACTAATTTTTCATAAACTACATGTGACGAAATCAAATGTTGGCATTTTAGATCAAATATCATTGAAAAACGGTGAAATGTTTGTTTTAGAAAGTGTGACTGTATGTAAGTAGATTGAGATAAACAAAATTGATATCAACACTTTAAAATATCTGATATTAAAGATATTTTTCTAGGCTTTTAAGATTGCAGTTTAAAATTTTAACTTGTTTATGTCACACATCTTACTCAGGGGGAAATTTTTATTTATAAAATTTTGATAGTAGACAAATGTGTCTAATGGAATGAAATATGCTTAAGACAAATTCAATTTTATTTACTTTATCGTTCCAACCTTCCGGGCTCAGAAAATTTATTTCATTTTTAATATATCTTATTAGAAAAAAAAAATTTCTTTTCCTTTTTTTAAACAATCATTGGCTCATTTTTTTGACTAAATATAGGCTCATTTTTAAACAAAGTACTGACTAACTTTCAACTGAAATAACATATAGGTTCTTTTTATGATATTTTACAATATAAAGGTTATACAGGAGAAAGCAACAATAGGTTCAATTAACAATAACTAAAATAATGGACAATTAAGGACACAATAATGAGCAGTAAAATTATTGTAAATATGAGGTGCATCATTATTCATCTTTCATACTCTACAAACTAATTTTTTCTGAGCCACTTAAATATAAGATCCTAGGAGTTTTGCGCAAATTACTAACGTCATTCAGTTGTTAACACTTATGAAGACAATCACATAATCAGGAATTCTATTTTTTTAAATTAAACTAAATTTTTGATTTTTGCTATAAACATTTTCGTGTCAGCTATTCATTTCAACCTACTAGTCTGTGTTTTTAACGTTTTTTAATTGCGTTTATAATTTTTTTTTGCAAACTAGTACAGTGGAATAGGGTAAAAAATTATTTAAATTCATAAAAAAATATAACAAAGCTCTTTAATACAGTTGTTCAGAATTATATCTAGAGTGACCTAAAATGAAAAAAAAAAAATCAATCTATTTCCCATGGGTCACAGAAATGTCCATATTTGGGCATAAAGTGGGCATATAGGGGAGAATTTGATTTAAAAATAATTCAAATACACCGTTGAAAAGATAATATAATACTGAATAATAACTATATGAAACCTCATTTCCAAAATGAATTCATATTAAAAAGTTGGTTTAAATAATAGTAAAGCTTTCGTTACCTAAACTACAAACTTACGCAATTGCGTAGAAATAAATAACAGTGTAACAGTTATAAATTTATGCCGTAACAACGTTATAGTTGTAAAAGTACAATAATAATTATTTGCTTATGCAGTTCAGCCCTAAAAGTACTTTATAAATGAAGAAAAACATATATATTATGGGGATTTCTACATGACATTATATCAGCGTATAGCGAATCACTATTATAATAAAATATTTTATCATAATGTGAAACAAATACGTTAGATAAAATTTTATCCTCTTTTTTCACCCCCCAGCCCCTACTTTTTAGCGAAAGAAAACAACAACCCTCGGCCGGTTTTTACTAAAATCTTTAAAAATGTATACAAAATACCTACCGGAAAAGCCTTAGATATAAAGTCGATCGACAAAAGAATCGTTTGAAAATACAGTAGTTTGAAAATACAGTAAAATTCAGTTGGTTGAAAACTCACTAAGACAAAAGTACAGTAGGTTGACGATTCATTAGGTTGGAAAATTTGAAGTACATGTTTTAATTAAGGTGAAAATATAAAAATCAAATGTTGTCGGTTAAAAATCAAAATCGTCATAATCGATAGTTTTCGAAATTTCAAAGTTAGATTAAGTTTTAGGTCACCAAATTTTTACATTTGAGCCTCATTTTCCAGCCAGAAAAAGTTTGAGGCTCTTTTCTACCCAGAAAGAGTCTTTTTCCCACTCAGAAAAAATTTGATAAAAGTTTAAAAAATCAGGAGCTCAAACCTTTTTCTTTAAGCTATTTTATGTAACAAAAACGAAACGCTTTATGCTACAATAATATTAAGGAGACTTTATGAGCTATTTTGGCATAAAAAAGAAGAAAATTAAAAAAATGAGAATCTTGAAGAGAAGAAAAAATAGTATTAAGAAAGGTTTAAAATTTTATAGCCCAATGGTCCGAGTTTTTTTTTTTTTTTTTGTTATCACTATCATTCCGATTAAAAGTCTTTTTTTCTTTTAGGTTTGCTAGGAAATATATAAATAATCTTTTTTTTTTTCTTTAATTTACATTTATTATTTACCTTTATACAATATATAAAATGAATAAAAAAATACAAATGAATATATCAATAAAATTAAGTAGGGAAACTCAAACAAGATCGTGAGGGTTTTTTTTTTTTTTTTAATTATTATTTAGGTGCCCCAAGAAGACCTAACGGCCTTATGAAAGAGCACCGCAAAAGAGTATTTAATTAGGAAGTTCACACCTCTTTCCTTACCGTGACGCGAATTATATCCAAAGTTCGTTTCGAACCTGGATCTCCTGCTTATTAAGCAAGCGCTCTAACCACTGCATTACGGCATGGCCTGCAAGGCCTTATCGCAGATATCCGTTAAGATTGCGATTAAACATTTTTAATGATAAACTTTTTTTGGGTGTTAATGTTTCATGTTAAGGTTGTAATAATGGAGTAATAATAGCAGCCGTGGCGCAGTGTTAGCGCTGAGTATTAATAATTCATCTTAAGGTTGTAATAATGGAGTAAAAATAGCAGCCGTGGCGCAGTGG